AAGATAATGTAACAAAAAATGTGAGGACTGAGAGGTTTAGGATGTCAATGTAATAAAAATGTATATGTGTAATGTAACACAAGTATTTGGGTTAGTGTAAAATATAACGTATAATTTAAAGCTGGCTAGCAGAAGTTGCCGGAGAGTGACTACTTGACACTCAAAGGAGGATTTGTCCAATTTGCATGACCTGCAGAGACCGTAGAATAAGAAAATGAATGACAAGGTAATAAACAACCTATAGGTATATAACTAAGATAAATAAAAGTGATTATAGAAGTTGCTCCAAAATATGAGTGGGCGCCAGGAACGTATTTACATAAACTCTACAAGGTATCTTGTAAAGCTGCTTGCTAAAATAAAGAAAGGATATAGGTATGAATTGAAATATTAATTTTCACCAAAAATTTAATCCCTATCCAAATATATACAGTCTAAATTTATCCTAAAATACCCACCATCAATTATGTACAGTTAATCTAGTTACTTATATACAAAAAGAATATAAATACACTGGTTACACACAACTGATCCTTGATAATCTGAATTTAACAAATAACTTATACAAAAAAACAAATTCACCAAATTGTTTCGGAATCAATTTTTTTAGGTGTATCTGATCAAAATAAACACTTTTTCTTTCCTGATAATTTTTCGAAAAATGCTTACTTTTCAAATTATTTGCATTTTTTTGTTGAAAAAATGCCTTAATTAGTGATTTTTGGGATTTTTTTCTCTACTAAATGAATTGAAATTCTACAAATAGCTTTATAATCTTTAAACCGTCGAGTAGTTAGAATATTTTGACAAGGATAATTTTTTTCTATCTTGCTAAAAAGTGGACCCAAATATTTCGAATATGCCTTTCGAGCAGTCTACCGCGTGTGTACAGCGGTTGCGGTGATACAGGCGTGCAGCGCGTAGAAATATTTGTTTAAATTTAAAAAATTAATTCAATACAAATATTACGTACAATTTATTAAAAAAAAAAGATATCTAATTATTTTTATATAGACATATTATAATTAAAACAATTAAAATTAATTTTTTACAATGCTATAATGTAATTTTTCTTTTAATATACGTGGTGAACTAATTTATTGAATTTTTTGTTACAGTGAAATACATTAAGCAATATATAATTAATTTTCATTGAAAAATATAATAAAATAAAAATATAATATTAATTATACATCGTTTTCATTGTCAATAACCTCAACCGCTGTACACGTTTAGTGGGATACTCTCGAAAGGCTTATTCGAAATATTTGAGTCCACGTTTTTAGCGAGATAGAAACCATTTATCCTTGTCAAAATATTCTGACTTGTACTCGACGGTTTAAAGATTATAAAGCTATTTGTAAAATTGCAATTCATTTAGTAGTTTTTTAGAAAAAAATCCCAAAAATCACTAATTAAGGCATTTTTTCAACAAAAAAATGCAAATAACTCGAAAAGGAAGCATTTTTCGAAAAATTATCAAAAGAGAAAAAGTGTTGATTTTGATCAGATACACCTAAAAAAATTGATTCCGAAACAATTTGGTGAAATTGCTTTTTTGTATAAGTTATTTGTTAATAACAATTGCCGGCCCACTTGTAAAAATTAAAAAAAAAATACATTTCATCTTGGAAAAATATATAGAATTGAATAAAAAAGAATTTTAGTCGGTTGATGCTCTGCTTATAGGGGTAAACCGCTCGCCTAGAAGTAGAAGTCCAATACAGGGGCGCACCGATATGTTTGACTGCATATGTGGTAGAGTTCTGGTTTCAGACATATTTATATCTTTTAGTAACGGTTGTAGAAGACTAGGAATAGGATGTATAATTAAGTTACATGGAGGGTTGTTATGGGGATGGTGTGATGATGTAAATAGATGATATACGGAATTGGACGGATTGGAAGAAATTGCAGCAGCATAGGAGAGAAGAAGATTTTCTCGACTAATCCATAGAGGAGGTTCATTAACCCAGATAATCCTGACATAAGAAATAGTATTGAAACTGCAATTTTTTGTTATTAATATGTTTTATTTGGAACACCTGAATACATTACTGTAATATTGCAAAAAATCGCAATGTACACAAAAAAAATTAGCGTCCTACATCTAGGACGTCAGGATCAAGCACTACCATTTGTGTGGTAACTCACAAAGCAGCGTACATGGATACCAACATCACATTTTTGACATCTTGTAGTTGTTTTTTATGGCAGTAGCGACATCTAGTTTGCTTTTCTTGATCAATCACATAATGATGCATTCCATCGAAACGAGAATCGGCATTTTCTCTTCGACTTGGCCGTCCACAAGAAGAAAAGTCGCTTTTGTATAAAGCTGAAGAAGTGAAGTTGCAATGCGTCGTCGAAAAGCTAATTGATCCAAAGTGCCCTGATTGCTTCGATGTAGTTGCCAAGCATTCTGTATAGCCAAATCGATACAGTGAGTAAACAAACAGAAGTACCATTTTTTTCCTCTAATACCAGTTCTATATAAACTTACGTTTTGATCGCATCGATCTGCGCCGCCCATATTTCGATTATATAATTTTACCATAAATGGTTGAGGAACAAGTATCGTTTTTTTTTCTTGTCGCGAATATCGCTTTACTTGATGAATAGGATTCGTACCAACTGCGTTCGAGCAGAGCGATACAACACTATTATCGTGCCAGCTGACAATTGTCAATTTCTTATTACCGTCAAACTTAGCATCGTACGAACCTCTTTTGTCTTTTTGTAACTCCTTTGCCGATTTCAGCGGATTTTTTGGTATTCTGTTACTTCTTATGGTTCCTGTTCCTCTGATATTTTTTTCCGTCAGCATTTCAAATAAAGGCATTGTACTAAAAAAATTATCAAAAAATAAATGAAATTTTTTCAGCTCCCACTTTGATCTAAGAATGTCAACATAACTGAGTACCACACCTACACCGACACCAAAATCCTTGTATTTAGGCGATACGCGTGTTGATGCTCCTTGGTATGGCTCAAACCACGTTACGTACCCATTTTTGTTACATCCAACCCAAAGTTTATATCCCCATCTTATCGGTTTACCCTTTATAAACTGTTTACAGCTGTGACGCCCGAAATAAGGAACCATGGCTTCATCAACACTGTGGTTCTCTTCTAAAACTGCATGTTTTAAAAAATTTTGATTTAGTAACCTAAGGAGAGGTCTAACTTTACTGAATTTATCAGAATGATTCAAATTATTATTATCGGCTATATGCAGAACGCTCATTATAAAATCAAACCTATCCCTAGCAAGTGCCCCAGAAACTAAGGAATTACAGACGTCTCTATCCTTTTCCCAATACATCTTCTTCCTTGGGTATTGAGCATAACCACTAAGAATAAGAATTCCTACGAATGCTTAGATTTCTTCGATACATATAGGCTTATTTTTCTTATTTTTCATACTTGCGCATATCTATTGGATTCGACAACCAGTAAATCAAAAATTTCTTCATCGAACAACTTCATAAACCAGTCTATGGGAGTATCTTCTGTATCAATATTGAGATCATTATCCTTTGACCAATCAAGTATTTCTGCTTCCTCTGAGGTGGTTGCTACTTCAGACCAGTGGTATTGCCGTGGAATTTTCAAAACTTTCTCAGATTTAACATAATTGGATTATGCAATATCATCATCCGAGTCTGAGTCAACCGAACGAGGTACATGGATTTCAGCTACTGTTCTCAACATATTTGAAGGCAAATTATACGGAGACACGTTTGCTTCATCACCAGAATCCTCATCTGTTTCAGCGGCATCTTCCGGAGGTAAGGGAACTATATTAGCTTGAGAATGGGGAAATTCATCTTCTTCTAACATCTCCAAGACCTCATGTAAAGAAAAATCTCTGAAACAATAAAAGCAGTATGTTCATAACACTATCAACAAATTCTATTGGGCTAAATACTAAGTAAAATAAATAAAGAAATCCAATGATTACAATAATTATTCAAAATTATAATTTTCATGCCATAATAGTACATAATCCTGACATCCTACATGTAGGACGGTCAAATTTATCACCACCTGGCAGCCAACTGGCAAACATTTTGGATAAAATTATTTCACGATTTGGAAAAGTGAACACTTATATACAAATAACATCATAAAAAAGTATATTTTATTAAAAGTTTAATATTCATTTCTTACCTTGCAAATCTGATTCCATGCTCAGCCATATTTTACGTTTTTTACAACCGCACGACAAGTAGACGTTTCAAGCGATAGGAACAAACTAAACAACAATGGGACGATTTGTCCTTGAGTAACATTTTGTGATAGACGGCGTTATCAAATTTAAACAGGGCCGTGTTCAAAAATTATTGAAATTAGCGTCCTACATATAGAACGTCAGGGTTATTAGGGTTAATATTGATTTAGTACCAGACATATAGACGAAACATCCATAGTCGAGCTTGGAGCGGATAAGTGATCTGTAGACTTTCAGTAACGTAGTTTCTTCCGCGCCCCAATGATCATGTGAGAGTGTTTTGAGTATATTTAACCTTTTTAGGAAAACCCCTTTAAGTTCCTGTATGTGTTGTTTTCAGGTTAATCTTGAATCAAATATCAGCCCTAATATTTTGCAATTATCAACAACCGGTAATTTGAAGTTGTTGATAGTGATTTCAGGATCAAAAGAACTCATTTTTCTGTTAAATTTAATAATTTTGGATTTAGAGTGGGAGAGAGTCAGTCCTAGAGAAGCTACTTTGTTTTGTAGGTCCTTTACACCTAATTGTAGAATTTTACTAGTAGTTGCGTTGGATTTACCATGACAGTACATTATTAGGTCATCGGCATATAATACGCATTTGATTGGTGGAGTTATATTTTCACTTAACTTGCTAATCAAAAGAATGGATAAGGATGTGCTTAAAACTGAACAATAACTGAAGTTATTGACAGAAACCCTGAACGATCTAGATGTTAGGAAGTTTTTGATAAATGCGTATATGTTGCCAGTAAGGTTAAATTCAAAAAGTAATTTGAGAATAGGAAGTAGCTAGCTTCCTCAATTTGCAGGATACATGTTCGCCATAAATTGAAAACCCATCTCTTGCCTGGGTCTTGACTTGCAAGGACTTCATTACATTATAAGCTTCTGTAGCCATGCTTTCATTTTGTCGCTTGACACTTTTTCTTGTTGTCGATTGTGATACATTAAAACCTCCATTGTTTTCGGGATTATTCATTTCTTTGCCATTTTCATTTTCAGCTATCCCTATGTCTATAGACGTTTTTTCATTAACCTGCAACAAATTAATAATTTGAAATACCGATTTACCGGTTTTGAAAATAGTCAGTAAATTTTTAATCCCTAGTAGTAAATTACTCTATATTTTTTTGTTTTAATTTCAGACCCCAACCTCCGAAGATCAATGGAAAACTATAGCAGATGAATATCATCATATCTGGAATTTTCCACACTGCGTTGGAGCTATGGACGAGAAACATATATCGTTACCAGCACCTATTGGAAGTGGAAGTGAATTTTTTAACTATAAAGAATTCTTTAGTATCGTGCTCTTCGCCATCGTTGATGCTAGGTATCGTTTTATCTACGTAAATGTTGAATGTTAGGGACGTATATCTGATGGTGGAGTATTTGCGAGTACAGTGATCCCGAAAATGATACAAGATGGCACTTTACAATTACCGAAAGAAGATTTCCTTCCTGGAAAAAATGACTACAAAATGCCTTACGTTTTTGTGGCTGATGACGCTTTTCCCCTACAACAGCATATTATGAAGCCTTACCCAGGTGTGCAATTGAAAGGAACAAAAAAGAAAATTTTCAACTACCGATTGAGTAGATCTAGGAGGGGCGTTGAAAATGCTTTTGGAATCATATCGTCAGTTTTTCGGTGTTTACGCAAGCCACTACTTCTTGAACCAGAGAAAGCAAGCAAAATTGTACTTGCCTGCATATACTTGTACAATTTCTTGCGAAACAGTATCACATCTAAACGCAGCTACACTCCACCAGGAACTTTTGATTCGGAAGATAAAGATACCGGAGAAGTATTGCCGGGTCAGTGGAGCCTAATTAATACTAATAAATCGGAAACATCGTTTCTTCCTCTCTCAAAAATAGCAAGAAAGCCTACATCGTATGCTCAAACAATTAGGAATAAATTTAGTGACTACTTTACTTCAAATGAAGGAAGACTCTCTTGGCAGGGAGACTATTAAAATATATTATTAATAAAAACATATTTTGATTTATTTTATTTTTTAAATAAAGAAACAGTAAAACTACTACATCAAGGGCGGATCCAGGGCCGATTTTCGGGGAGGGGGGAGAATTTTTTTTTAAATTAGGGTTAAAATGGTGAGTTTTAAGGCACTTTTCACACACTTTGAGTGCCATAAAGACATTCAAAACATCGTTATTAAAGTATTTTTGTTTGAAACTACAAATATTTAAATTTATATGTTTTTAAACTCTCGGGGGCCCCCTTTCTGGATCCGCTCTTGTACCACATACTTATAATTAAATTGTGTAATTTCTTACAATAACTCCACCTTCAAGAGTGGGACGCGGCTTGTTCTTATCCTTTAAAAACATCAAACTTTTAAATGCAAACCACTTGCTCACGTAAATGTCATCAACTCCGTCTCCTGAATGTGATTTAGTTTTCTTTATTTCCCTCTGAAACTGTCCTATTAAGCTTTTCATTTTTTTTTCTGCTGCATCTTTTTCTATTTATATTGTTGTTGCTATCTTGGTAAATGCGTCACTTTTAATTTGACGATTTTTATAATCTCTGTATCTTGTATAATCCCACAACACGCTATTGTCTCTAAATAAATATATATATATATATATATATATATATATATATATATATATATATATATATATATATATATATATATATATATATATATATAGTCGCTTCTCTTGACCACTCCATTTCTCTAAATATATTCTTATATAAACATACAAAATCAAACAAATAAATACCGTCTTGACTCTTACCCGGTCTATACACAACTGAGAAACATATTCAAAAACATTAAGTGTGGACGCAGAGCAAACATGTGGAAAAACTTTATAGTAACTATTTTATCCTGAAATTTGATAGCCAAAATGTTAGGCAATACGTATACAAGAGTTTTCCCACATATTGTTCCCGAATAAAATATTACAGATATTTAAACTTTAAGGTGGCCTTAATTGGCGACTGTACCTCATGTAATTAAAATGGTCATTAAAAGACAATAAATTATCCAATTGAAAACCAAGGTACTTAATTGTTGTGATGATTACTATTTTATCATTATCAATTTGAAGATTAATAGTATTTATATCAATATTTGAGTATTTGTATTTAGTTGTTATTATCATGGCCTAGAAATCACATTTAACAAACAAGTTTATATCATTTAAATACAATAGGAACAAAAGGAGTCCTAAGACACTACCTTGAGGTACTCCAATATTAACACTAATTGCAGAAGAAGTAATATTATCAATCCTCACTTGTTGCTTTCTATTCAATAAGTAATCTTCAAACCATTCAAGAACATTTCCTCCAATACCATAGCCTTGTAATTTAGTGGGAAGTATATTATGATCAATAGTTTCAAAAGCTCTTTTTAAATCAAGGAATACTACTACTAAATAATTATCATTATCCAATTCAGGATTGAATTTACTAAGTGAAAGTTGCAGTGCAGTTTAGCAGGAATACTTTATACGAAAACCTGGCTGAGTATTCATTAAAATTTCATTTTTATCAATGTGATACATGACTTGATCATATACTACCAATTTTAAAAATTTCTCAATACGCGGAAGTATATTTATAGGTCTAAATTCATCCGCCTTAATAGTATTATTAACTTTTGGTATAGGAACAACTGTACTGATTTTTAACAAATCTGAAATTTTTTATGATATAAGAAAAGTATTTATAAAATTTAAGATAATGTCACCACAAGTTACAAAAAATTCTTTAAATATTTTGAAGTTTAGTATTCCATTAATGTTACTCCTATTATCTAACTTAACCATGACTGCCAAGTCACTCAGTGATAGTAACCGAAATTTATGCATACTGGGATACAAATTCTGATTATCATAACTCCATAATTCTTCAGAGTCAATAGTTTCAAAAATTTGCTAAATATTAGAGACGAAATTAGTCACCAAACTGACACACCATTTCAACTTTGTCACTCAGAATGCATAACTGATTCTGAATCTTAAATTCAATGCAATAAGGGAATTTTTAACAATTATTGTTAATTAATATTTTTAGCGTTTTCCACATAAGTCTAGAGTTATTTTTATACCTATCAAAGTTATCAAAATAATATTGTTCTTTTTTTGCTTTTAACATATTAAGTACCTCATTTCTTGCTCTTTTAAAATCTTTCCATTTGGCAATTTTAATTTTACTATTAACTTCACTATCAAAACATTGTATGTTACTTTTGATCTGACATGTTTGAATAGGTGCTATTTTATTTATGACAGACTGACTGTTTAATAAATTTCATTGTAAATAGTATTGACATCAGTAAAATATAAATTCCAATCACAAGAAAATAAATTCATTTGGATTTAATATATTTTTTCCTCGTTAAGACATCTATAACATTTACTAGAGACATTACAATTTTGAAAACTATTACTAAAACTGACCTATTATATTTGGTCTGAACTATTACTATTTGGTCTAGTAAAGATTGTTATTCACCTACATTTATTAATGTCATCGTAATAATTTGCTGCGTTATTCTAAATTTATTAAGGATCATTCCAATGATTCTTTTTACATGAATTCTGACATGTGCAATTGATCTGGTTTCTTCCAAGTCAACTGGATGCATTTGGGTTGTTCTCTTCGTAAATGCAGGAATTTTTACAGATGCATGAAACAATTCCACAAATTCTTTGATTAAGAATCCTCTGTCAGCCATAATCACATCCCCTGGCAGCAAATTATTCAGAAAATCAGAATTTTCAGTAATTACCTTATCTGAAACTCTTCCCCCCCAACCTTCACTTATGAAGCATATGCTCTCCTGAGGTGTAATACCGATTAAATATTTTAAGGTATGACAATGTTTATAGTTGCTCCAAGATTGGGCAGACGACAATAAATTAGAGGCAACTTGAATTTTCATTTCAAATCTATTATACATGGTCAGAATGTTTCAAACAAGAACAAAACATATGCTTTAAAAGCATATTATACATATTTGAACATATATTTTTTATTCCTCAAAAGGAATAATTGGAGGACATATATTTATAAGTGCACAACACAAGAATACTTTTTGGTCTAGTAAAGATTGTTCTTCACCTACATTTATTATTGTTATCGGAATAATTTGCTGCGTTATTCTAAATTTATTACGGATCATTATAATGATTCTTTCTACATGAATTCTGACATGTGCAATTGATCTGGTTTCTTCCAAGGCAACTGGATGCATTTGGGTTGTTCCCTTCGTAAATGCAGGAATTTTTACAGATGCATGAAACAATTCCATAAATTCTTTGATTAAGAATCCTCTGTCAGCCATAATCACATCCCCTGGCAGCAAATTATTCAGAAAATCAGAATTTTCAGTGATTACCTTATCTGAAACTCTTCCCCCCCAACCTTCACTTATGAAGCATATGCTCCCCTGAGGTGTAATACCGATTAAATATTTTAAGGTATGACAATGTTTATAGTTGATCCAAGATTGGGCAGACGACAATAAATTAGAGGCAACTTGAATTTTCATTTCAAAACAATCTATTATAACTGTTGTTTTTTCATGGTCAGACTGTTTGAAACACTTAGGCATTGTTTTTAAGAGTATTTCTCTCTCTGGCCACCTAACAAATCTTTTGAACCGAATGCACATAATTCCAATAATTTTTTTAAAGTAACTAGAGGCAGTTGTTGGGCCCACTCCAAATCTGTACCCAAGATCTTTTAAATCAGGATTTAATCTTAATTTCACTAAAGTTAGAAGAATTTGATCTTCTATTGATAGAATTATATTGGGGTGACTGGGCACAAATGGTGTTATGTAATTTATTACCACTATGAAAACTTTAAAATTCGACAAACCAGTAAATATCTGGTTTTTGTATCATTACCACAAAGATTTTTGAAATTAAGGGCTGTTTTGTTTATATGATCAGCTTGTTCAATTATAGCTAATTTTAAGAAATCTTCTGTTAATTTTTCCATAGTGATTTCAGTTTGGGTATTTTTATCAACACTGTTATTGTCTGGTGCAATAACTTCTTCAGGGTCTGTATCCTCTGCCTAAAAATTAGATGTAATAAGTAATATATGTAAAATAAATGATTGCCCAATTGCAACTGAAATGATACTATGGTCAGCTGTAGTAGAAAAAAAAACAAGATTAGTTAAGAAAAAAATCCCAAAATTGTATTTTATTTAAACCTTGTAGAAAAAATCAGAAATATGTATCAATTCAAAGAGATTTTTTGTCATCACAATATAAATATGTAATTAATATTACCAGTGTAATAGATAACATAAGTGTTCTTTCATTCCGTTGTTATAATAGGTATATGAATACAATACATACAGAATTAGCACAATTCTTAGAAAAAACAAAAATAGTTACCTTTAACAGAAAATTATTGCCTTCCTACTCTAAAACATTCTCAGTATTCTCCTTGACGTTTTTTTACCTAAATCATATTAAATCATATATCATGTAGGGAAAGTAAAGTATCAAGTTTGGTTAGTAAAAATTAGTATACTGACCATTTGTTTTCTTATACTTCTCTTATATCTTTCTATGTTGCAACAAACAGCACGATGAGAACTCGAAGCATATCCCATATTGATATTAGGTACCCAGTCAGGGTTTAGGATGTCTTCAACAGAAGAAGGTTTACCTGCAAAAATATTTAGCTAAACCAACACAATTCTTTCAGCTTTACTTCCTTACCTGAGATAAAATGGTTTGAACAAACTCGAGCATTATTTAATTGGCGGTTTGTTAAATCAGTCCTTTTAAGTGCCTGGATCCATTTATCCCTTCTTTGCTGAACCGACCTTATGGTTTCCTCATCTTGCCGAAACCTTTTAACAGGGACTGTCGGTATCCTAAAATATCTTATAGGATTCCTGTTAGATCTGTTGGAGCATCCCACAACAAAACAAACCATTGGCATATTTGCTATCTAAAAAATTAACACATATTCACATTTAATTTAATTTAGAGAATATGTAAACAAACCTTTTAAACTGATTATTCAGTTTCACAACAGAAGTTTTTTTCAAAAAGGCCGCTTTCAAAAAGAAGCTTAAATATTTTTGTCCGATTTTAAATCACTAAACTTATAAATTAAACTCACAATTTATATTATTAATTAAAAACACCCGAAAACTTTCACTAACACTTAATAGATTGTTTGCCCTCCAGACACCATATTGGATTTAATTTGACAGCTCGTTGGACTGCCCTATTGTGTATATTTTTATTTTCTAGTATCAAACCAAAACAGTTCAAGTTTAAAAAGTTTTGTATTCTTTTGAAAACAAAGCAATATTTTATTCTTTGTTGATGTACTAATGGTTACAAAAAGACTTTTTGTAACAGTTTGTAGGGTAGATATGTATTTTTCATGTTTTATCAATTGAGTTCATCAAACAGATAATTGTTAACCTAAGTACTAAGAAAATAAAAGGCAGAATATTGTGTAAATTTTTATTTTTTAGTAAAAGAAATCAACTCAGTTCAATATTTCATTACATACAAGTGTTACGTGTTCATTTTGAAGAACACAGATATATATGGTCTTGTTTGTTTTTCATTCAGACATCATGTTAAACAAATAGAATGTATTGTCACATCATCTAGGATATAAAAGGTTATATATATATTTCCTTGTATATAGCCCTTGCTGGAGAAGTATAACTATTCCTTGTATATACCCCTTGCTTGAGAAGTACTAAATATTCATTTACTAGCTCTTTAAGCGATATACCCTTGTTGATATGACAACTTATTCTATTTAGTATAACATGATGTCTGAAGGAAAAACAAACATCATGTTACACTAAATAGAATGTGTTGTCACATCAACCAGGATATATCGCTTAAAGAACTACTAAATGAATACTGAAAATTACAATATTTTCTATTTGTTTACATTTTTTTATGATCACTTACAATGTTTTCACTCACAAGATTGAATGCAGGTTAGAATGTTGTTCGATTTTGCAATTTTGTTTATCCAAACTAGCACCAAACTTCCGTTTTCTCTTCCTATTTCAATAATGTCTCTTTGTTTTTGATATAGTGTCACCAATTTTTCACTGACACTTACAATGTAGGTTAATATTTGTTTAAAATCACTGCCCTAACTCACTTTTTCACTGTTGGAACACTAAACTAGACAATCTTCATTTGAACTGTGTTGTTTTCGTTGATAATAAAATGGAATATCACTCACAAGAATGAATACAGGTTAGAATTTTGTTAGAATTTGCAATTTTTTTATTTAAAATATTTAAACTATGATCGGCTCTTTTCCTTTTTTTTTTCGTAGGTGGATATTTTTTTGACTAAAATCTCTCTTTGTTTTTGATATTATACCAATAATTGTTCACTGGCACTTACATATTGGGTTAATAATTGTTTAACATTACTATCCGCACTCATTATTTTTTTATCAATTTTGTTAAAATCCGTGGTTGCATTGCAGTCACTTCCTTCTTCTATTATCCTGTTTAACTCACTAATTACGACTTCCGGAATTTTTTCAACATCAGAATTATTATCAGAAGCATTTTCATTTTCAGATAAGCACTCATGTTCGGAATCACTTTCCTCTGATATATCTTCATATTTTGAGTTTTTTATCACTGGTGTAGAAGAACACGAAGCTTTATTTTCAAATTCACTATACTGCAGCGGACAATGGTTGTTCATGTCACCTTCCATAAATTCTATAGTGGAGATATCACTTATAAACTGATCAGAATTTGGAGCCTTTTTTAAATGGGAAATAATTTTCGCCGATTTTTTTCCGGTTGTTGGAACACTAAACTTGATACTTTTCATTTTTAACTGAACTGATTGAACTATTGAACTGAGTTGATTTCATTTGAATCGCTTATTTATGAAAGGCCTCTTGTCACAAAATGTACATTTTGGAAAACAAGAAAAAACTGTTTAGTTTTATAAAAAACGATTTTATACTTTTCTGATTTTTCGAAACATTTTAAGAACCTTAAAACTCAAAAATAAATCATGTTGGTTACACTTTTTAAAATCAATATTATATTTTGTTTATTATTGATAATAGCTGACAAAAGGCCTTTCATAAACAAAAGTGTTGTTTTACGGGAAAAGTTTTGATTGATGGATGAATTTACACCGCGTTTACAGTTCTAAGTTCTAAGCAGTTCTAAGACAGTTCTAAGACAATACAATTAGCTACAATTAATTGCCATTTTATACGTTTTGGCTCATTTTTTCGTTGCAACTCTAGGCCATTGGGCAAGCTGCAAAAGTTTCTTCAGGTCATTAATTTTTTGTTAATGAATTAGTACGTTTAATTCATGAGTTTCTCTGGCTAATGAGGAAGGGGAGGATGGCTCAGCAATAGACAGTGGATTAGATAATAATTTGAAGGTTTTGCTAATAAATCCACCTATGAAATCAGATACAACAACCACTCCTTTTTTAAATCTTTCGCAAGTACATTCATGGTAGGAAGAAATAGTAAACATTTCCTTTTTTTGTTTTTCTGAATTTTACTTTCTTCTAAAACAGTATTTTTTTGTAAAATTTGGGCCACTAACTTTGGTAGTCCAAAACATTTGCATTTTCCACAAAATTCACAGTAAATTTTCTCTGTTTTGTAGAGGAAAGTACTATTTCTGTTGTATCTTTCAAAGTGTAGAATTTATCATGTTTCCTTAGGTTTCGTTTTACAAGGCCGAAGACCCTGTCACATGGTAAATACGAGTGACCCCTTATTGGAAGTCTATAGACAACTTTTTTTAATCTTCCACTATCTGTAAATTACATTGAAAACCTAATCATCGTATGATTTTTATTTTGTACTGTACAGTTGTCATTGATAAGTACAATTCATCTACATTAGCTTGAACATTCTCGTCAATATACTTTTTCAAGAAAGAGTAAACTTCATTACTTCCCTTTCCAGCAACTCCCTGGTGGTATAAATAAAATGTTGCAGTGTCATTATTACTGTAGTGTATGCCAAACGTATAGACTGACAGTTGTCTAAGACTAAGGTAGTATATTTCCTGCACTGGAATTGTGAGAAGCGATATGTTTGCCATACAATCAAACATCGATTCTTTCGTCTGTGAAGGGATGAATAAAACTTTTTGCTACGCCTCTTATGCACAAGTAGCTGCGCAACTGCAACTTATTTTGCTGTTTCATTTAACTGAGGATTTTTTTATTGTAATATTGAGCAGTTCACATTCACAACAAGTGTCAATTTGAAGCCTTCCAAATCTATAATTGAAATGTTCTTTGAAAAGTTTATAGTAAAAACTATACTTCACGTTTAAGTCGTTATATTTCTCTTAAAACAAATTGAACATTTTTTTTATGTCCAGCTTAGCATCTAGAGATTCTATTTCATTAGAAGAATAATGACTTGTTTTCAGTGGAAATGACTGAATGTGTTCTTTTACAAGATCCGTATTATCATGTGGAAGGGTCCTCCAATTATTCTGTTGGCCTCTTAAATCTCTAGGAAATTTACCTTTTACAAAAAGATCTTGCAGTCTTCTTAATCTTTTTTTACCAATACCGTGCAGACTTAAAAAAGCCTTTTTGCAGATGTTGATCCTTTTCTCACGAAGCAAGACATAGAATTTAAAAGAACTTTTGGGCATAGAATAAAATGTTTGGGCTTAAAAAACATCTTTAGCTTCATCTTCGGAAGTGTTTTGTTTTAATCTTGACTTCTTCCGTACGGGCCCTACTTCTATTAAGGACTGGTAAAAAAGGTCTTGCTCATTTTTGTTTGCAAAGTTTGCACCTCTGCATAAAATTTCAACTTCGTCCTATTCACATAACTTCTCGAAACATCTTAATCTGCATCTGCAACATTTGAAAAAGGTAACTATTGTAAAACTAAGCAAGGTTTTAAAACTGACTTTTAATTATCATCTTATTTCCTGTCTAAAATAGTACGTTCTAAGATAAAACGTAACTTACGAGCATGGTAATCCTGTTTTGCGTGGTTCAACATTTCCTCTGTAATTTAGATATCCTTTACCATGACATCTAGCTTTCTTAATTCGAATAAATTTATATTCTTCATGGTAACGAACACCCCTCTTTCGCTTCTTGCTATCTGCTTCAATTTCAACGAGATTTTCACTCTCTGACATTATTTCAAATCATAAGTTAAATCACTTTAACAATAACTGAAGAGAAATATTTTACTTTATTATTTAACAGTTGATTATAACATAAAACAACAAGAGGTTAATTTTTAATCTCCAAACACTGAATATCTGTCAACAATCAGCGGACAGCGCAATGTTGCCAACAGTGCTTTTATTTATGAAAAGCCCCTTGTCACTGACAAGAGGCTTTCATAAATAAACAATAATTTTAAACTAATATATCTGATAAAGGAATAACAAGACATGAGGCTTTTCATAAGCAAACGATGTGTGAACATATGGGTTATCATTTTCTAAGTTAAACGAAAATTTGAAAAAAAGTGACATGAGGCCTTTCATAAATAACCGATTCATTTACTGAAAAATAATACTAGTGCAAAGGAGCAAGTATTGGTTTTATAGGACCCTAATCCCTTTCACAGTCCTATACCCCTCTCTGAATTGCTATGTAGTGGTAAAACCAATGAGAAATAAACCTTATTTCTTAGACCCAACCCACTCCCTACTTACCTCTTACTAAAGGTAATTTCTGCAAATAAACAATCCTTAATAATTTTCTTTGTGTCTCAATACCTGCTACCCACATTAATTAAATCTTGAAGAACCTCACCTGTGTAGTGCTACCAGCAGTTTATTAAGTTAATTTCAACCATCTTTCAATCAACTACATATGTACCCATATAAAACTACAAAATACTAATTAAAAGAAAAGGTTTATTTCACTTATTGCAGACTGCAAAGTTTATGCATTTGGTACTGCAGAATAATACTGCATCCAACTGCAGAATAATAATTGAAAGAAAAGGTGCCACTTGATTGATTGCTTGTTGTACAATTTATCTATAAGTACCTCTATATAACTACTCACCAAAAGACAAGGTTTACTTATTGCTAGTTGCATCTGTGCATATATTACTCTCTGGCCACCTAACAAATCTTTTGAACCGAATGCACATAATTCCAATAATTTTTTTAAAGTAACTAGAGGCAGTTGTTGGGCTCACTCCAAATCTGTACCCAAGATCTTTTAAATCAGGATTTAATCTTAATTTCACTAAAGTTAGAAGAATTTGATCTTCTATTGATAGAATTATATTGGGATGACTGGGCACAAATGGTTTTATATAATTTATTACCACTATGAAAACTTTAAAATTCGACAAACCAGTAAATATCTGGTTTTTGTATCATTACCACAAAGATTTTTGAAATTAAGGGCTGTTTTGTTTATATGATCAGCTTGTTCAATTATAGCTAATTTTAAGAAATCTTCTGTTAATTTTTCCATAGTGATTTCAGTTTGGGTATTTTTATCAACACTGTTATTGTCTGGTGCAATAACTTCTTCAGGGTCTGTATCCTCTGCCTAAAAGTTAGATGTAATAAGTAATATATGTAAAATAAATGATTGCCCAATTGCAACTGAAATGATACTATGGTCAGTTGTAGTAGAAAAAAAAAACAAGATTAGTTAAGAAAAAAATCCCAAAATTGTATTTTATTTAAACCTTGTAGAAAAAATCAGAAATATGTATCAATTCAAAGAGATTTTTTGTCATCAAAATATAAATATGTAATTAATATTACCAGTGTAATAGATAACATAAGTGTTCTTTCATTCCGTTGTTATAATAGGTATATGAATACAAAACATACAGAATTAGCACAATTCTTAGAAAAAACAAAAATAGTTACCTTTAACAGAAAATTATTGCCTTCCTACTCTAAAACATTCTCAGTATTCTCCTTGACGTTTTTTTACCTAAATCATATTAAATCATATATCATGTAGGGAAAGTAAAGTATCAAGTTTGGTTAGTAAAAATTAGTATACTGACCATTTGTTTTCTTATACTTCTCTTATATCTTTCTATGTTGCAACAAACAGCACGATGAGAACTCGAAGCATATCCCATATTGATATTAGGTACCCAGTCAGGGTTTAGGATGTCTTCAACAGAAGAAGGTTTACCTGCAAAAATATTTAGCTAAACCAACACAATTCTTTCAGCTTTACTTCCTTACCTGAGATAAAATGGTTTGAACAAACTCGAGCATTATTTAATTGGCGGTTTGTTAAATCAGTCCTTTTAAGTGCCTGGATCCATTTATCCCTTCTTTGCTGAACCGACCTTATGGTTTCCTCATCTTGCCGAAACCTTTTAACAGGGACTGTCGGTATCCTAAAATATCTTATAGGATTCCTGTTAGATCTGTTGGAGCATCCCACAACAAAACAAACCATTGGCATATTTGCTATCTAAAAAATTAACACATATTCACATTTAATTTAATTTAGAGAATATGTAAACAAACCTTTTAAACTGATTATTCAGTTTCACAACAGAAGTTTTTTTCAAAAAGGCCGCTTTCAAAAAGAAGCTTAAATATTTTTGTCCGATTTTAAATCACTAAACTTATAAATTAAACTCACAATTTATATTATTAATTAAAAACACCCGAAAACTTTCACTAACACTTAATAGATTGTTTGCCCTCCAGACACCATATTGGATTTAATTTGACAGCTCGTTGGACTGCCCTATTGTGTATATTTTTATTTTCTAGTATCAAACCAAAACAGTTCAAGTTTAAAAAGTTTTGTATTCTTTTGAAAACAAAGCAATATTTTATTCTTTGTTGATGTACTAACGGTTACAAAAAGACTTTTTGTAACAGTTTGTAGGGTAGATATGTATTTTTCATGTTTTATCAATTTAGTCCATCGAACAGATAATTGTTAACCTAAGTACTAAGAAAATAAAAGGCAGAATATTGTGTAAATTTTTATTTTTTAGTAAAAGAAATTAACTCAGTTCAATATTTCATTACATACAAGTGTTACGTGTTCATTTTTAAGCACACAGATATATATGGTCTTGTTTGTTTTTCATTCAGACATCATGTTAAACAAATAGAATGTGTTGTCACATTACCTAGGATATAAAAGGTTATATATATATTCCTTGTATATAGCCCTTGCTGGAGAAGTATAACTATTCCTTGTATATACCCCTTGCTTGAGAAGTACTAAATATTCATTTACTAGCTCTTTAAGCGATATACCCTTGTTGATATGACAACACATTCTATTTAGTATAACATGATGTCTGAAGGAAAAACAAACATCATGTTACACTAAATAGAATGTGTTGTCACATCAACCAGGATATATCGCTTAAAGAACTACTAAATGAATACTGAAAATTACAATATTTTCTATTTGTTTACATTTTTTTATGATCACTTACAATGTTTTCACTCACAAGATTGAATGCAGGTTAGAATGTTGTTCGATTTTGCAATTTTGTTTATCCAAACTAGCACCAAACTTCCGTTTTCTCTTCCTATTTCAATAATGTCTCTTTGTTTTTGATATAGTGTCACCAATTTTTCACTGACACTTACAATGTAGGTTAATATTTGTTTAAAATCACTGCCCTAACTCACTTTTTCACTGTTGGAACACTAAACTAGACAATCTTCATTTGAACTGTGTTGTTTTCGTTGATAATAAAATGGAATATCACTCACAAGAATGAATACAGGTTAGAATTTTGTTAGAATTTGCAATTTTTTTATTTAAAATATTTAAACTATGATCGGCTCTTTTCCTTTTTTTTTTTTTCGTAGGTGGATATTTTTTTGACTAAAATCTCTCTTTGTTTTTGATATTCTACCAATAATTGTTCACTGGCACTTACATATTGGGTTAATAATTGTTTAACATTACTATCCGCACTCATTATTTTTTTATCAATTTTGTTAAAATCCGTGGTTGCATTGCAGTCACTTCCTTCTTCTATTATCCTGTTTAACTCACTAATTACGACTTCCGGAATTTTTTCAACATCAGAATTATTATCAGAAGCATTTTCATTTTCAGATAAGCACTCATGTTCGGAATCACTTTCCTCTGATATATCTTCATATTTTGAGTTTTTTATCACTGGTGTAGAAGAACACGAAGATTTATTTTCAAATTCACTATACTGCAGCGGACAATGGTTGTTCATGTCACCTTCCATAAATTCTATAGTGGAGATATCACTTATAAACTGATCAGAATTTGGAGCCTTTTTTAAATGGGAAATAATTTTCGCCGATTTTTTTCCGGTTGTTGTAACACTAAACTTGATACTTTTCATTTTTAACTGAACTGATTGAACTGAGTTGATTTCATTTACTGAAAAATAATACTAGTGCAAAGGAGCAAGTATTGGTTTTATAGGACCCTAATCCCTTTCACAGTCCTATACCCCTCTCTGAATTGCTATGTAGTGGTAAAACCAATGAGAAATAAACCTTATTTCTTAGACCCAACCCACTTCCTACTTACCTCTTACTAAAGGTAATTTCTGCAAACAAACAATGCTTAATAATTTTCTTTGTGTCTCAATACCTGCTACCCACATTAATTAAATCTTGAAGAACCTCACCTGTGTAGTGCTACCAGCAGTTTATTAAGTTAATTTCAACCATCTTTCAATCAACTACATATGTACCCATATAAAACTACAAAATACTAACTAAAAGAAAAGGATTATTTCACTTATTGCAGACTGCAAAGTTTATGCATTTGGTACCCCTATCCAACTGCAGAATAATAATTGAAAGAAAAGGTGCCACTTGATTTATTGCTTGTTGTACAATTTATCTATAAGTACCTCTATATAACTACTCACCAAAAGACAAGGTTTACTTATTGCTAGTTGCATCTGTGCATATATTACTCTCTGGCCACCTAACAAATCTTTTGAACCGAATGCACATAATTCCAATAATTTTTTTAAAGTAACTAGAGGCAGTTGTTGGGCTCACTCCAAATCTGTACCCAAGATCTTTTAAATCAGGATTTAATCTTAATTTCACTAAAGTTAGAAGAATTTGATCTTCTATTGATAGAGTTATATTGGGATGACTGGGCACAAATGGTTTTATATAATTTATTACCACTATGAAAACTTTAAAATTCGACAAACCAGTAAATATCTGGTTTTTGTATCATTACCACAAAGATTTTTGAAATTAAGGGCTGTTTTGTTTATATGATCAGCTTGTTCAATTATAGCTAATTTTAAGAAATCTTCTGTTAATTTTTCCATAGTGATTTCAGTTTGGGTATTTTTATCAACACTGTTATTGTCTGGTGCAATAACTTCTTTAGGGTCTGTATCCTCTGCCTAAAAATTAGATGTAATAAGTAATATATGTAAAATAAATGATTGCCCAATTGCAACTGAAATAATACTATGGTCAGCTGTAATAGAAAAAAAAACAAGATTAGTTAAGAAAAAAATCCCAAAATTGTATTTTATTTAAACCTTGTAGAAAAAATCAGAAATATGTATCAATTCAAAGAGATTTTTTGTCATCACAATATAAATATGTAATTAATATTACCAGTGTAATAGATAACATAAGTGTTCTTTCATTCCGTTGTTATAATAGGTATATGAATACAATACATACAGAATTAGCTAAATTCTTAGAAAAAACAAAAATAGTTACCTTTAACAGAAAATTATTGCCTTCCTACTCTAAAACATTCTCAGTATTCTCCTTGACGTTTTTTTACCTAAATCATATTAAATCATATATCATGTAGGGAAAGTAAAGTATCAAGTTTGGTTAGTAAAAATTAGTATACTGACCATTTGTTTTCTTATACTTCTCTTATATCTTTCTATGTTGCAACAAACAGCACGATGAGAACTCGAAGCATATCCCATATTGATATTAGGTACCCAGTCAGGGTTTAGGATGTCTTCAACAGAAGAAGGTTTACCTGCAAAAATATTTAGCTAAACCAACACAATTCTTTCAGCTTTACTTCCTTACCTGAGATAAAATGGTTTGAACAAACTCGAGCATTATTTAATTGGCGGTTTGTTAAATCAGTCCTTTTAAGTGCCTTCATCCATTTATCCCTTCTTTGCTGAACCGACCTTATGGTTTCCTCATCTTGCCGAAACCTTTTAACGGGGACTGTCGGTATCCTAAAATATCCCATAGGATTCCTGTTAGATCTGTTGGAGCATCCCACAACAAAACAAACCATTGGCATATTTGCTATCTAAAAAATTAACACATATTCACATTTAATTTAATTTAGAGAATATGTAAACAAACCTTTTAAACTGATTATTCAGTTTCACAACAGAAGTTTTTTTCAAAAAGAAGCTTAAATATTTTTGTCCGATTTTAAATCACTAAACTTATAAATTAAACTCACAATTTATATTATTAATTAAAAACACCCGAAAACTTTCACTAACACTTGATAGATTGTTTGCCCTCCAGACATCATATTGGATTTAATTTGACAGCTCGTTGGACTGCCCTATTGTGTATATTTTTATTTTCTAGTATCAAACCAAAACAGTTCAAGTTTAAAAAGTTTTGTATTCTTTTGAAAACAAAGCAATATTTTATTCTTTGTTGATGTACTAATGGTTACAAAAAGACTTTTTGTAACAGTTTGTAGGGTAGATATGTATTTTTCATGTTTTATCAATTGAGTTCATCAAACAGATAATTGTTAACCTAAGTACTAAGAAAATAAAAGGCAGAATATTGTGTAAATTTTTATTTTTTAGTAAAAGAAATCAACTCAGTTCAATATTTCATTACATACAAGTGTTACGTGTTCATTTTTAAGAACACAGATATATATGGTCTTGTTTGTTTTTCATTCAGACATCATGTTAAACAAATAGAATGTATTGTCACATCATCTAGGATATAAAAGGTTATATATATATTCCTTGTATATAGCCCTTGCTGGAGAAGTATAACTATTCCTTGTATATACCCCTTGCTTGAGAAGTACTAAATATTCATTTACTAGCTCTTTAAGCGATATACCCTTGTTGATATGACAACTTATTCTATTTAGTATAACATGATGTCTGAAGGAAAAACAAACATCATGTTACACTAAATAGAATGTGTTGTCACATCAACCAGGATATATCGCTTAAAGAACTACTAAATAAATACTGAAAATTACAATATTTTCTATTTGTTTACATTTTTTTATGATCACTTACAATGTTTTCACTCACAAGATTGAATGCAGGTTAGAATGTTGTTCGATTTTGCAATTTTGTTTATCCAAACTAGCACCAAACTTCCGTTTTCTCTTCCTATTTCAATAATGTCTCTTTGTTTTTGATATAGTGTCACCAATTTTTCACTGACACTTACAATGTAGGTTAATATTTGTTTAAAATCACTGCCCTAACTCACTTTTTCACTGTTGGAACACTAAACTAGACAATCTTCATTTGAACTGTGTTGTTTTCGTTGATAATAAAATGGAATATCACTCACAAGAATGAATACAGGTTAGAATTTTGTTAGAATTTGCAATTTTTTTATTTAAAATATTTAAACTATGATCGGCTCTTTTCCTTTTTTTTTCGTAGGTGGATATTTTTTTGACTAAAATCTCTCTTTGTTTTTGATATTCTACCAATAATTGTTCACTGGCACTTACATATTGGGTTAATAATTGTTTAACATTACTATCCGCACTCATTATTTTTTTATCAATTTTGTTAAAATCCGTGGTTGTATTGCAGTCACTTCCTTCTTCTATTATCCTGTTTAACTCACTAATTACGACTTCCGGAATTTTTTCAACATCAGAATTATTATCAGAAGCATTTTCATTTTCAGATAAGCACTCATGTTCGGAATCACTTTCCTCTGATATATCTTCATATTTTGAGTTTTTTATCACTGGTGTAGAAGAACACGAAGCTTTATTTTCAAATTCACTATACTGCAGCGGACAATGGCTGTTCATGTCACCTTCCATAAATTCTATAGTGGAGATATCACTTACAAACTGATCAGAATTTGGAGCCTTTTTTAAATGGGAAATAATTTTCGCCGATTTTTTTCCGGTTGTTGGAACACTAAACTTAATACTTTTCATTTTTAACTGAACTGATTGAACTATTGAACTGAGTTGATTTCATTTACTGAAAAATAATACTAGTGCAAAGGAGCAAGTATTGGTTTTATAGGACCCTAATCCCTTTCACAGTCCTATACCCCTCTCTGAATTGCTATGTAGTGGTAAAACCAATGAGAAATAAACCTTATTTCTTAGACCCAACCCACTCCCTACTTACCTCTTACTAAAGGTAATTTCTGCAAACAAACAATCCTTAATAATTTTCTTTGTGTCTCAATACCTGCTACCCACATTAATTAAATCTTGAAGAACCTCACCTGTGTAGTGCTACCAGCAGTTTAATTAAGTTAATTTCAACCATCTTTCAATCAACTACATATGTACCCATATAAAACTACAAAATACTAATTAAAAGAAAAGGATTATTTCACTTATTGCAGACTGCAAAGTTTATGCATTTGGTACTGCAGAATAATACTGCATCCAACTGCAGAATAATAATTGAAAGAAAAGGTGCCACTTGATTTATTGCTTGTTGTACAATTTATCTATAAGTACCTCTATATAACTACTCACCAAAAGACAAGGTTTACTTATTGCTAGTTGCATCTGTGCATATATTACTCTCTGGCCACCTAACAAATCTTTTGAACCGAATGCACATAATTCCAATAATTTTTTTAAAGTAACTAGAGGCAGTTGTTGGGCTCACTCCAAATCTGTACCCAAGATCTTTTAAATCAGGATTTAATCTTAATTTCACTAAAGTTAGAAGAATTTGATCTTCTATTGATAGAGTTATATTGGGATGACTGGGCACAAATGGTTTTATATAATTTATTACCACTATGAAAACTTTAAAATTCGACAAACCAGTAAATATCTGGTTTTTGTATCATTACCACAAAGATTTTTGAAATTAAGGGCTGTTTTGTTTATATGATCAGCTTGTTCAATTATAGCTAATTTTAAGAAATCTTCTGTTAATTTTTCCATAGTGATTTCAGTTTGGGTATTTTTATCAACACTGTTATTGTCTGGTGCAATAACTTCTTCAGGGTCTGTATCCTCTGCCTAAAAGTTAGATGTAATAAGTAATATATGTAAAATAAATGATTGCCCAATTGCAACTGAAATGATACTATGGTCAGCTGTAGTAGAAAAAAAAAAACAAGATTAGTTAAGAAAAAAATCCCAAAATTGTATTTTATTTAAACCTTGTAGAAAAAATCAGAAATATGTATCAATTCAAAGAGATTTTTTGTCATCAAAATATAAATATGTAATTAATATTACCAGTGTAATAGATAACATAAGTGTTCTTTCATTCCGTTGTTATAATAGGTATATGAATACAATACATACAGAATTAGCACAATTCTTAGAAAAAACAAAAATAGTTACCTTTAACAGAAAATTATTGCCTTCCTACTCTAAAACATTCTCAGTATTCTCCTTGACGTTTTTTTACCTAAATCATATTAACTCATATATCATGTAGGGAAAGTAAAGTATCAAGTTTGGTTAGTAAAAATTAGTATACTGACCATTTGTTTTCTTATACTTCTCTTATATCTTTCTATGTTGCAACAAACAGCACGATGAGAACTCGAAGCATATCCCATATTGATATTAGGTACCCAGTCAGGGTTTAGGATGTCTTCAACAGAAGAAGGTTTACCTGCAAAAATATTTAGCTAAACCAACACAATTCTTTCAGCTTTACTTCCTCACCTGAGATAAAATGGTTTGAACAAACTCGAGCATTATTTAATTGGCGGTTTGTTAAATCAGTCCTTTTAAGTGCCTGGATCCATTTATCCCTTCTTTGCTGAACCGACCTTATGGTTTCCTCATCTTGCCGAAACCTTTTAAAAGGGACTGTCGGTATCCTAAAATATCCCATAGGATTCCTGTTAGATCTGTTGGAGCATCCCACAACAAAACAAACCATTGGCATATTTGCTATCTAAAAAATTAACACATATTCACATTTAATTTAATTTAGAGAATATGTAAACAAACCTTTTAAACTGATTATTCAGTTTCACAACAGAAGTTTTTTTCAAAAAGGCCGCTTTCAAAAAGAAGCTTAAATATTTTTGTCCGATTTTAAATCACTAAACTTATAAATTAAATTCACAATTTATATTATTAATTAAAAACACCCGAAAACTTTCACTAACACTTAATAGATTGTTTGCCCTCCAGACACCATATTGGATTTAATTTGACAGCTCGTTGGACTGCCCTATTGTGTATATTTTTATTTTCTAGTATCAAACCAAAACAGTTCAAGTTTAAAAAGTTTTGTATTCTTTTGAAAACAAAGCAATATTTTATTCTTTGTTGATGTACTAACGGTTACAAAAAGACTTTTTGTAACAGTTTGTAGGGTAGATATGTATTTTTCATGTTTTATCAATTGAGTCCATCAAACAGATAATTGTTAACCTAAGTACTAAGAAAATAAAAGGCAGAATATTGTGTAAATTTTTATTTTTTAGTAAAAGAAATCAACTCAGTTCAATATTTCATTACATACAAGTGTTACGTGTTCATTTTTAAGCACACAGATATATATATATGGTCTTGTTTGTTTTTCATTCAGACATCATGTTAAACAAATAGAATGTGTTGTCACATCACCTAGGATATAAAAGGTTATATATATTCCTTGTATATAGCCCTTGCTGGAGAAGTATAACTATTCCTTGTATATACCCCTTGCTTGAGAAGTACTAAATATTCATTTACTAGCTCTTTAAGCGATATACCCTTGTTGATATGACAACTTATTCTATTTAGTATAACATGATGTCTGAAGGAAAAACAAACATCATGTTACACTAAATAGAATGTGTTGTCACATCAACCAGGATATATCGCTTAAAATACTACTAAATGAATACTGAAAATTACAATATTTTCTATTTGTTTACATTTTTTTATGATCACTTACAATGTTTTCACTCACAAGATTGAATGCAGGTTAGAATGTTGTTCGATTTTGCAATTTTGTTTATCCAAACTAGCACCAAACTTCCGTTTTCTCTTCCTATTTCAATAATGTCTCTTTGTTTTTGATATAGTGTCACCAATTTTTCACTGACACTTACAATGTAGGTTAATATTTGTTTAAAATCACTGCCCGAACTCACTTTTTCACTGTTGGAACACCAAACTAGACAATCTTCATTTGAACTGTGTTGTTTTCGTTGATAATAAAATGGAATATCACTCACAAGAATGAATACAGGTTAGAATTTTGTTAGAATTTGCAATTTTTTTATTTAAAATATTTAAACTATGATCGGCTCTTTTCCTTTTTTTTTTCGTAGGTGGATATTTTTTTGACTAAAATCTCTCTTTGTTTTTGATATTCTACCATTAATTGTTCACTGGCACTTACATATTGGGTTAATAATTGTTTAACATTACTATCCGCACTCATTATTTTTTTATCAATTTTGTTAAAATCCGTGGTTGTATTGCAGTCACTTCCTTCTTCTATTATCCTGTTTAACTCACTAATTACCACTTCCGGAATTTTTTCAACATCAGAATTATTATCAGAAGCATTTTCATTTTCAGATAAGCACTCATGTTCGGAATCACTTTCCTCTGATATATCTTCATATTTTGAGTTTTTTATCACTGGTGTAGAAGAACACGAAGCTTTATTTTCAAATTCACTATACTGCAGCGGACAATGGTTGTTCATGTCACCTTCCACAAATTCTATAGTGGAGATATCACTTATAAACTGATCAGAATTTGGAGCCTTTTTTAAATGGGAAATAATTTTCGCCGATTTTTTTCCGGTTGTTGGAACACTAAACTTGATACTTTTCATTTTTAACTGAACTGATTGAACTATTGAACTGAGTTGATTTCATTTACTGAAAAATAATACTAGTGCAAAGGAGCAAGTATTGGTTTTATAGGACCCTAATCCCTTTCACAGTCCTATACCCCTCTCTGAATTGCTATGTAGTGGTAAAACCAATGAGAAATAAACCTTATTTCTTAGACCCAACCCACTCCCTACTTACCTCTTACTAAAGGTAATTTCTGCAAACAAACAATGCTTAATAATTTTCTTTGTGTCTCAATACCTGCTACCCACATTAATTAAATCTTGAAGAACCTCACCTGTGTAGTGCTACCAGCAGTTTATTAAGTTAATTTCAACCATCTTTCAATCAACTACATATGTACCCATATAAAACTACAAAATACTAATTAAAAGAAAAGGATTATTTCACTTATTGCAGACTGCAAAGTTTATGCATTTGGTACCCTGCATCCAACTGCAGAATAATAATTGAAAGAAAAGGTGCCACTTGATTTATTGCTTGTTGTACAATTTATCTATAAGTACCTCTATATAACTACTCACCAAAAGACAAGGTTTACTTATTGCTAGTTGCATCTGTGCATATATTACTCTCTGGCCACCTAACAAATCTTTTGAACCGAATGCACATAATTCCAATAATTTTTTTAAAGTAACTAGAGGCAGTTGTTGGGCTCACTCCAAATCTGTACCCAAGATCTTTTAAATCAGGATTTAATCTTAATTTCACTAAAGTTAGAAGAATTTGATCTTCTATTGATAGAATTATATTGGGATGACTGGGCACAAATGGTTTTATATAATTTATTACCACTATGAAAACTTTAAAATTCGACAAACCAGTAAATATCTGGTTTTTGTATCATTACCACAAAGATTTTTGAAATTAAGGGCTGTTTTGTTTATATGATCAGCTTGTTCAATTATAGCTAATTTTAAGAAATCTTCTGTTAATTTTTCCATAGTGATTTCAGTTTGGGTATTTTTATCAACACTGTTATTGTCTGGTGCAATAACTTCTTCAGGGTCTGTATCCTCTGCCTAAAAGTTAGATGTAATAAGTAATATATGTAAAATAAATGATTGCCCAATTGCAACTGAAATGATACTATGGTCAGCTGTAGTAGAAAAAAAAACAAGATTAGTTAAGAAAAAAATCCCAAAATTGTATTTTATTTAAACCTTGTAGAAAAAATCAGAAATATGTATCAATTCAAAGAGATTTTTTGTCATCAAAATATAAATATGTAATTAATATTACCAGTGTAATAGATAACATAAGTGTTCTTTCATTCCGTTGTTATAATAGGTATATGAATACAATACATACAGAATTAGCAAATTCTTAGAAAAAACAAAAATAGTTACCTTTAACAGAAAATTATTGCCTTCCTACTCTAAAACATTCTCAGTATTCTCCTTGACGTTTTTTTACCTAAATCATATTAAATCATATATCATGTAGGGAAAGTAAAGTATCAAGTTTGGTTAGTAAAAATTAGTATACTGACCATTTGTTTTCTTATACTTCTCTTATATCTTTCTATGTTGCAACAAACAGCACGATGAGAACTCGAAGCATATCCCATATTGATATTAGGTACCCAGTCAGGGTTTAGGATGTCTTCAACAGAAGAAGGTTTACCTGCAAAAATATTTAGCTAAACCAACACAATTCTTTCAGCTTTACTTCCTCACCTGAGATAAAATGGTTTGAACAAACTCGAGCATTATTTAATTGGCGGTTTGTTAAATCAGTCCTTTTAAGTGCCTGGATCCATTTATCCCTTCTTTGCTGAACCGACCTTATGGTTTCCTCATCTTGCCGAAACCTTTTAACAGGGACTGTCGGTATCCTAAAATATCTTATAGGATTCCTGTTAGATCTGTTGGAGCATCCCACAACAAAACAAACCATTGGCATATTTGCTATCTAAAAAATTAACACATATTCACATTTAATTTAATTTAGAGAATATGTAAACAAACCTTTTAAACTGATTATTCAGTTTCACAACAGAAGTTTTTTTCAAAAAGGCCGCTTTCAAAAAGAAGCTTAAATATTTTTGTCCGATTTTAAATCACTAAACTTATAAATTAAATTCACAATTTATATTATTAATTAAAAACACCCGAAAACTTTCACTAACACTTAATAGATTGTTTGCCCTCCAGACACCATATTGGATTTAATTTGACAGCTCGTTGGACTGCCCTATTGTGTATATTTTTATTTTCTAGTATCAAACCAAAACAGTTCAAGTTTAAAAAGTTTTGTATTCTTTTGAAAACAAAGCAATATTTTATTCTTTGTTGATGTACTAACGGTTACAAAAAGACTTTTTGTAACAGTTTGTAGGGTAGATATGTATTTTTCATGTTTTATCAATTGAGTCCATCAAACAGATAATTGTTAACCTAAGTACTAAGAAAATAAAAGGCAGAATATTGTGTAAATTTTTATTTTTTAGTAAAAGAAATCAACTCAGTTCAATATTTCATTACATACAAGTGTTACGTGTTCATTTTTAAGCACACAGATATATATATATATATATGGTCTTGTTTGTTTTTCATTCAGACATCATGTTAAACAAATAGAATGTGTTGTCACATCATCCTAGGATATAAAAGGTTATATATATTCCTTGTATATAGCCCTTGCTGGAGAAGTATAACTATTCCTTGTATATACCCCTTGCTTGAGAAGTACTAAATATTCATTTACTAGCTCTTTAAGCGATATACCCTTGTTGATATGACAACTTATTCTATTTAGTATAACATGATGTCTGAAGGAAAAACAAACATCATGTTACACTAAATAGAATGTGTTGTCACATCAACCAGGATATATCGCTTAAAATACTACTAAATGAATACTGAAAATTACAATATTTTCTATTTGTTTACATTTTTTTATGATCACTTACAATGTTTTCACTCACAAGATTGAATGCAGGTTAGAATGTTGTTCGATTTTGCAATTTTGTTTATCCAAACTAGCACCAAACTTCCGTTTTCTCTTCCTATTTCAATAATGTCTCTTTGTTTTTGATATAGTGTCACCAATTTTTCACTGACACTTACAATGTAGGTTAATATTTGTTTAAAATCACTGCCCGAACTCACTTTTTCACTGTTGGAACACCAAACTAGACAATCTTCATTTGAACTGTGTTGTTTTCGTTGATAATAAAATGGAATATCACTCACAAGAATGAATACAGGTTAGAATTTTGTTAGAATTTGCAATTTTTTTATTTAAAATATTTAAACTATGATCGGCTCTTTTCTTTTTTTTTTTCGTAGGTGGATATTTTTTTGACTAAAATCTCTCTTTGTTTTTGATATTCTACCATTAATTGTTCACTGGCACTTACATATTGGGTTAATAATTGTTTAACATTACTATCCGCACTCATTATTTTTTTATCAATTTTGTTAAAATTCGTGGTTGCATAACAGTCACTTCCTTCTTCTATTATCCTGTTTAACTCACTGATTACCACTTCCGGAATTTTTTCAACATCAGAATTATTATCAGAAGCATTTTCATTTTCAGATAAGCACTCATGTTCGGAATCACTTTCCTCTGATATATCTTCATATTTTGAGTTTTTTATCACTGGTGTAGAAGAACACGAAGCTTTATTTTCAAATTCACTATACTGCAGCGGACAATGGTTGTTCATGTCACCTTCCACAAATTCTATAGTGGAGATATCACTTATAAACTGATCAGAATTTGGAGCCTTTTTTAAATGGGAAATAATTTTCGCCGATTTTTTTCCGGTTGTTGGAACACTAAACTTGATACTTTTCATTTTTAACTGAACTGATTGAACTATTGAACTGAGTTGATTTCATTTACTGAAAAATAATACTAGTGCAAAGGAGCAAGTATTGGTTTTATAGGACCCTAATCCCTTTCACAGTCCTATACCCCTCTCTGAATTGCTATGTAGTGGTAAAACCAATGAGAAATAAACCTTATTTCTTAGACCCAACCCACTTCCTACTTACCTCTTACTAAAGGTAATTTCTGCAAACAAACAATGCTTAATAATTTTCTTTGTGTCTCAATACCTGCTACCCACATTAATTAAATCTTGAAGAACCTCACCTGTGTAGTGCTACCAGCAGTTTATTAAGTTAATTTCAACCATCTTTCAATCAACTACATATGTACCCATATAAAACTACAAAATACTAACTAAAAGAATAGGATTATTTCACTTATTGCAGACTGCAAAGTTTATGCATTTGGTACCCCTATCCAACTGCAGAATAATAATTGAAAGAAAAGGTGCCACTTGATTTATTGCTTGTTGTACAATTTATCTATAAGTATCTCTATATAACTACTCACCAAAAGACAAGGTTTACTTATTGCTAGTTGCATCTGTGCATATATTACTCTCTGGCCACCTAACAAATCTTTTGAACCGAATGCACATAATTCCAATAATTTTTTTAAAGTAACTAGAGGCAGTTGTTGGGCTCACTCCAAATCTGTACCCAAGATCTTTTAAATCAGGATTTAATCTTAATTTCACCAAAGTTAGAAGAATTTGATCTTCTATTGATAGAGTTATATTGGGATGACTGGGCACAAATGGTTTTATATAATTTATTACCACTATGAAAACTTTAAAATTCGACAAACCAGTAAATATCTGGTTTTTGTATCATTACCACAAAGATTTTTGAAATTAAGGGCTGTTTTGTTTATATGATCAGCTTGTTCAATTATAGCTAATTTTAAGAAATCTTCTGTTAATTTTTCCATAGTGATTTCAGTTTGGGTATTTTTATCAACACTGTTATTGTCTGGTGCAATAACTTCTTTAGGGTCTGTATCCTCTGCCTAAAAATTAGATGTAATAAGTAATATATGTAAAATAAATGATTGCCCAATTGCAACTGAAATAATACTATGGTCAGCTGTAATAGAAAAAAAAACAAGATTAGTTAAGAAAAAAATCCCAAAATTGTATTTTATTTAAACCTTGTAGAAAAAATCAGAAATATGTATCAATTCAAAGAGATTTTTTGTCATCACAATATAAATATGTAATTAATATTACCAGTGTAATAGATAACATAAGTGTTCTTTCATTAAGTTGTTATAATAGGTATATGAATACAATACATACAGAATTAGCACAATTCTTAGAAAAAACAAAAATAGTTACCTTTAACAGAAAATTATTGCCTTCCTACTCTAAAACATTCTCAGTAATCTCCTTGACGTTTTTTTACCTAAATCATATTAAATCATATATCATGTAGGGAAAGTAAAGTATCAAGTTTGGTTAGTAAAAATTAGTATACTGACCATTTGTTTTCTTATACTTCTCTTATATCTTTCTATGTTGCAACAAACAGCACGATGAGAACTCGAAGCATATCCCATATTAATATTAGGTACCCAGTCAGGGTTTAGGATGTCTTCAACAGAAGAAGGTTTACCTGCAAAAATATTTAGCTAAACCAACACAATTCTTTCAGCTTTACTTCCTCACCTGAGATACAATGGTTTGAACAAACTCGAGCATTATTTAATTGGCGGTTTGTTAAATCAGTCCTTTTAAGTGCCTGGATCCATTTATCCCTTCTTTGCTGAACCGACCTTATGGTTTCCTCATCTGGCCGAAACCTTTTAAAAGGGACTGTCGGTATCCTAAAATATCCCATAGGATTCCTGTTAGATCTGTTGGAGCATCCCACAACAAAACAAACCATTGGCATATTTGCTATCTAAAAAATTAACACATATTCACATTTAATTTAATTTAGAGAATATGTAAACAAACCTTTTAAACTGATTATTTAGTTTCACAACAGAAGCTTTTTTCAAAAAGGCCGCTTTCAAAAAGAAGCTTAAATATTTTAGTCCGATTTTAAATCACTAAACTTATAAATTAAACTCACAATTTGTATTATTAATTAAAAACACCCGAAAACTTTCACTAACACTTAATAGATTGTTTGCCCTCCAGACACCATATTGGATTTAATTTGACAGCTCGTTGGACTGCCCTATTGTGTATATTTTTATTTTCTAGTATCAAACCAAAACAGTTCAAGTTTAAAAAGTTTTGTATTCTTTTGAAAACAAAGCAATATTTTATTCTTTGTTGATGTACTAACGGTTACAAAAAGACTTTTTGTAACAGTTTGTAGGGTAGATATGTATTTTTCATGTTTTATCAATTGAGTCCATCAAACAGATAACTGTTAACCTAAGTACTAAGAAAATAAAAGGCAGAATATTGTGTAAATTTTTATTTTTTAGTAAAAGAAATCAACTCAGTTCAATATTTCATTACATACAAGTGTTACGTGTTCATTTTTAAGCACACAGATATATATGGTCTTGTTTGTTTTTCATTCAGACATCATGTTAAACAAATAGAATGTATTGTCACATCATCTAGGATATAAAAGGTTATATATATTCCTTGTATATAGCCCTTGCTGGAGAAGTATAACTATTCCTTGTATATACCCCTTGCTTGAGAAGTACTAAATATTCATTTACTAGCTCTTTAAGCGATATACCCTTGTTGATATGACAACACATTCTATTTAGTATAACATGATGTCTGAAGGAAAAACAAACATCATGTTACACTAAATAGAATGCTAAACTTTTATGAACGTATTGTTTCAAGTGTCAAATAACTGTCAAAGTGTGGATACGTATTTTTCAATACTCTCTGCGTTTTCAAGTTTATTTCATTGCATTTAAAGCAATACCGAGTAATTTAAAATTAATTTTATTCGGCTAGTTTTTTTAAATTGTAGTGTTTAATAAAATCATAAAAAACATACTCGCATAGTGCCCAAAAAATTTTTTACCGTCCCCTATGGGGACTGGAATTGACTCAAGGACGCTTTTAAGTGCCTCTAACAATATTGTTAGGTCATCTGAAGTAATGGAGCCTGAAGAAAACGTGGTACCGTTAAAAAATAGAGGATTTAACGTAAATTCAGATAAGTACAATCTTGAAAATATTTATGTGTATATTGAAAGGATAGATAACACCGATCTTGGTCGCTTACACCCAATTACAATAGGTCATATTTTGTACAAAAAACTAGGAATTTCTAATATAATTCAAGTAAGGGCAATTGGTAGAAACATAATTAAGGTAGTAGTAGCTTCTATACATGATGCAAATAATAGTAAACTAAAGGAAGAAAATTTAAAAGCCTTTATTCCCGGTCACTTATTAGAAAGCAAGGGTTTAATTCGGGATATTGATACTCAATTTGATACTGCATATTTACAGGAAAATATTGAATCTCCTTCACGTATATTAAATATTAAACGTATGAATAGAAAAGTTGAAAAAAATGGTACAATTGAGTATGTTGCAAAACGAACTGTTATTGTAGCTTTTGAAGGTAATATACTGCCTCAGTATGTTATTATAAATTGAGGTTTTTGTCCAGTCGAACAATTTGTAGGTAGGGTTACTCAGTGTTTTAAGTGTTTGAGATACGGTCACATTTCAAAACAGTGTAGAAGTTCTCAAAATCTTTGTATTCGATGTGGAGAGAATACAGACGAAAATCATTCTTGCAAAAATTCAGACATTAGTTGCATTCATTGTCAGAGTACTGCAAATGTTTCGGTTTCAAAAAGTTGTCCTTCTTACCAAAAACAACAAAAAATTAAAAATATTGTCATTAAAAATAAAATTTCCTTTATCGAGGCCAAGGAAATTAATGAAAACTCGTATTCAGAGGCCCTAGGCCAAAATAAGTTTTTAATTTTATCGAACTACGATAAAAATTTTCCTAATACTACACAAAATAAAATGCCCCTAACATCTGCGCAATCTACTTCTAATGCAGCTACGAGTACCAATTTTAATCCAACTTTTCGCCAAAACTCGAACAATTACTCAGTTCCTAACAAAAAGAGGAAAGCCAATTCTTCTCCTAATGTAACTTCTAACTCTGTTCAGCCACCTCCCATGTTTAACTTCAGATTTGGACCATCTCAACCACTACATGCTAATCCACCCCGTTCCGCTTCTCACAGTGGAGAAATGGAGAACCAAGATATTGCTTGAGCTATGACTAACTTTGTAATTAGTTTTTTAAAAAATACACGTACATTGGACGATTTGAAATCTTTAGATAATGAAATAATAAATCATGAAATTACTTCTGTATTGAAGGGTACAAAAAAGGTTACATAATTTTCTCTGTCTTAAATAGATTAAAAATCATGCAATGGAATTGTAGATCTGCTGTTGCCAACAACAACAGATTAACACATTTTTTAAATGATATTGATGTTGCCTTGTTGAGCGAAACATGGTTTAAACCCGATAAACAATATAACTTTAAGGGTTATAAGATTATTCGTCGCGACCGATATGACGGTTACGCGGGAGTGGCTATACTTATAAAATCAATTCTTCTTTTTCAAGAAATTTGTATTACACAAAATTTTAATGATGATATACTTGTTTGTGGAATCACTTAAAAATTTAATAACTCTGATATTAATTTTGCGTCAATTTATAGACCTCCAGATATTCGATCGACTTCCAAAGATTGGTGTAAAATTTTTGAACAATTTAATTTTCCTTGCATTATAGGTGGTGATATGAATGCGCATAATAGTTTGTGGGGTTCACTTAAGAATGATGGCATTGGGCACCAACTTATTAATGCCATTGATACTCTTGATTTAGTTGTTCTTAATAATGGCAAAGCAACCTGTCTGACCCGCCCGGATGTGAAACAATCTAGTGTTGATATTACGTTGTGCTCTCCTGATTTAGCAAAAGAAATTACTTGGGACGTCTTGGATGACACATTGGGATCGAATCATTATGTAGTTCACATGAATTTTTCGTCTGTTATTTCTCGTAATGAATATATTCTTCCAAAGTCCAAATGGAATGTTAATAAAGCTAATTGGACCCAATATTCTGACCTGATTGAACAAAACTTTCTCAACTATTCGGACAGCTTGTCTACCTCAGAGAAATATGACTTCCTAATGGAAAGTAATAATAATGCATCTTCTCAATCCATTCCGACATATAAACCCTTTAAAATTAATAAACGACCACCTACTCCGTGGTGGGATTTCTAATGTGAACAAGTTGTTTCTGACCGGAAAGATGCTTTAAAAACATATAAAAATAACTCTAGTTTCACTAATTACGTACGATGTCAGGAAGTTATGGCTAAAACAAAAAAAGTTCTAAAACGAAAAGCCAAAGAAAGTTGGAAACACTGGTGTTCATCCTTAAATAAAAATATGCCTATTAAAAATGTGTGGAATGAAGCAAGGAAAATGCAAAGGAAGTATACTCCAAGTATTAATCATTTTAATGATGAATTGATTGAAGAATTTTTTGACCAAATAGCACCTCCATCAGTTAATACTGTTATAGAAATTCAAAATAATACTATAACTTCGTCACTTTCTTCTAAATCCATTTACACGGGAAGAACTTGACTTTGCGCTAACTAATAGGTCTAACACCGCTCCGGGCTACGATGATATTAAATATCCTATGCTTAAAAAACTTCCAAATATAGCGAAACACGTATTACTTGATATTTTCAATGATATTCTTTTTAAAGATGCAGAAATTAATGTATTAAGAACTGTTATTGTCATACCAATCCTTAAACCAAATAAAGATCCCAACTTGGTAAAATCATATAGGCCAATCTCTTTGATGTCGTGTGTTTTGAAGACTTTGGAAAGAATTATCAAAGTTAGACTAGAATGGTGGATAACTCATAATAAATTAGCTTGTCAAAATCAGTTCTCTTTTAAAAAAGGGGTTGGTTCTCTAGATGCTCTTAGTACTCTCGTGGTAGACATAAACAATAATTCTGGCAGAAACAATTACCTTTCTGCGCTTTTTATAGACGTAGAAAGTGCGTATGATAATATATGCCTCCCCATTTTAAGAGATAAGATGTTGAAATTATTTCATGTTCCAAATCAGGTAGTCAACATGATTATTAAATTCTACACTAATAGAAAAATATTTTTAAGAAATTTTGATAACACAATTGTAGGTCCAAGAAATAACAACAACGGACTTCCACAAGGCTCAGTTTTAAGCCCTTTTCTCTTTAATTTGTATACTGCTGACTTACATCAATTAAGTTTTAATCACATTCCGTTTAAAATAGTACAGTATGCAGATGACCTCTGCATTTATACTGAAAATAAGAAATTTAATACCACTATGGCTTCTCTCAAAGACATCTTTGGTGTTGTTCATGAATGGTTAATATTGAATGGATTTCAGATTTCCTACTCCAAATCTGAAGTTTGTGTTTTCAGTAGACACAACATACCTAAATTAAGTTACATTGTCCCAGGTTCATATAATTTTTCCATTAAAGACTCCGTTAACACGTTCGCTGCCGATCTTTAAAATGCAATATATAGTAGGGGCCGACAACGTTTTTTGAATTTTTCGTTTAAATGTTATTTAGAAAAGTTGCTTGAATAGTTGCACTAAAGCTATGTCAACTAATTTTTTTGTCATTAGATATACTTTGTGATATCACGCGCCAGCGCGTGATCGGTGTGGTCCCAGGAATTTCATCTCAATTAGCCGTATCACGCCATAGAGTGAGACAATAAAACGACGTTATTATAATACGAAAACAGAAACTATATTTATATTATATTATATATACTAATTCGAATAAAACGAACAATACATAAAAAATTTATAAAACAAAAATATTACTCAGATCAAAATAAAATAAATAAAAAAACTAAAATAAGTGATCAAACCACAAATGTCCCTGTGGATTAAACATTTGTAACTTATTTATGAATAATGGTACAGCAATCTAGACAATATCCTGGTTCACTGGGGCACGACCTACATGTGTAGATAGTATCCTTTCTTTTTCCATTTTCGTAACATAACTTGCAATGTTTTCTAGGTGTTTTCTTAATACCTGGTGGTGCCACTCTTTGTGACATAATGTGACCAACTTCTGGGGGTCGTCGGTGTGCTTGGTCTTCTTCTGCCCTCTTCTGGGCCGGGGCTAATAAACTTTGTATGACTCGAATACGAAAGTCATAAAGACTTATTTTTTGGGTAGAGTATTTGTTATATAAATGGTGTGAATTGATAAGCATCAATTGCAGCACGTGGATAAACATCTTCGTAGGCCATCTTAATGTCTTTCTCTCTGCCGGGTAATAAGAGAGCATTTGGTCATGTCTGTCAATACCGGACATATACTTATTGTATTGAACGATCGGTAAGGGCTTCGATACAATTTGTTGTCTTTTATTTGGTACATCCACCATTATGTTTCGATATTCATTAGAAATATAGGACACATTCCTCTTATCTCTCCATTTTCCTATGAGTACTCCATCTGCATACCTTCCCATTACTTCACCTTTTTTTAACTTACTGTCTTTTATTTCCTTCGGTACATGCTTTCTGTCCAATCTTAAAGTTCCCGTACAGTGTGTTTTATGATTCAATAGTGTTCTAGCTAATAAAAAACTGTTATAATAATTGTCCATATACACACTATGTCCTACTTCCAAAAAACCGTCCAATAAATGCATTACCACTTTTGATGCATGATCTTTACCACCCAGATCGTCCAGTTTTCCTGCATAAACGGCAAATTTTAAAACCATACCAGTTGGGGTTGTCAGCATGTATAATTTAATGCCATATTTATGCCTCTTATTTTTTATATATTGGCGAAATTGAAGTCTGCCTCGCCATAACACCATAGACTCATCTAAACTTAGCTCCCGTCCTGGATAATACAGTTGCACATACTTTTTCGTTAAAAAAATTAATTAGGTATCTAATCTTCAATAATTTGTCTTCAGGTAAAATACCATTTTCTCTATTTTCCGTGAAATTCAGGCAACGCATTATCAATAAAAACCGATTTCGGCTCATAACTTTGTGAAATATCCAATGCTATATAACTCATCTTGTCGCCAATAGTCTTGGACACGGTTTATTCGAATATTGCCCATGTGTAACAGTAAGCCTATGAACAGTAACAAATCTTCAGAAGTTAACTGTTTCCAGTTAGTTATCCTGGATTTAAAGCATGTTCTTTCAGATAAAAATAGATTAATGGCGTAACTGTTACTCAAATCACAAATTTTTGTAATAAAATCGTCTGTCACAAACAATCTAAAATATTCAATCGGTGTCATTCCAGTTACGTCTACTAATAATCTTTCGTGTTCAGTAAATTCAAAAACATCTTTCATTGTGGTTGGATTCAAAGAAAATTGTATAGACTGGTCTTGATTATGAGAAAGGTTTTGTGGACGTTCATTATCATTATTTTGTAACACGTACTGTTGTACACCAATATCATTTTCAGAATCCTCAGAATATACTTCGTCCGATTCATCCAAATCACCAAATACCATTTCGTCCTCGTCGGAGCTGTCATGTTCCAGTAAATATAGTAGTTCTTTTTCACTTAAAGGCTGTTTTAAATCAATTTTTACCTTTTTTGGTTGAGAAGGTCCTGCCACAATGTTATTACTTTCCGCCATTTTCACTAGACTGTCAACATACACTGGTACTGTCAAATCAAAAACCGCGCAATGTAAATCATAACCTATGATCGATCCTAGCAGGCCGACACTTATTTTTAAACTCATTCCATAAGCCGTATTTAAAAACCTACATTATAGAGCTTACAGCTATATCACGCACTGGCGCGTGATCGGCCTTTTTCCAAGTACGACCATCACGCACTGGCGCGTGATCGGCAGCGAACGAGTTAAATATCTTGGCATGGTACTAGATAGGAAATTGACATGGAAAATGCATATTAATTACATGTTGATGTAATTAAGACCGATGTATAAAGGGTTTAAATTTTTAAAAAATGGTTACTAAGACTTGGTGGGGAGCTGGCGTTGAAACCGCCTTACTATTCTATCGGGCCTATATCTGGTCCATATTGGATTATGGATGTATCTTGTACGGCTCTGCTAGTTCACAGATTCTAAACAAAATAGATATCTTGCAGAACTCAGTCCTACGTGTATGTCTTGGTGCTATTGGAACTCACTTTTTCACTATTGGAACACTAAACTTGACAATCTTCATTTGAACTGTGTTGTTTTCGTTGATAATAAAATGGAATATCACTCACAAGAATGACTGCAGGTTAGAATTTTGTTAGAATTTGCAATTTTTTTATTTAAAATATTTAAACTATGATCGGCTCTTTTCCTTTTTTTTCGTAGGTGGATATTTTTTTGACTAAAATCTATCTTTGTTTTTGATATTCTACCATTAATTGTTCACTGGCACTTACATATTGGGTTAATAATTGTTTAACATTACTATCCGCACTCATTATTTTTTCATCCATTTTGTTAAAATCCGTGGTTGCATTAGTCACTTCCTTCTTCTACTGTCCCGTTTAACTCACTGATTACCACTTCCGGAATTTTTTCAACATCAGAATTATTATCAGAGGCATTTTCATTTTCAGATAAGCACTCATGTTCGGAATCACTTTCCTCTGATATATCTTCATATTTTGAGTTTTTTATCACTGGTGTAGAACAACACGAAGCTTTATTTTCAAATTCACTATACTGCAGCGGACAATGGTTGTTCATGTCACCTTTCACAAATTCTATACTGGAGGTATCACTTATAAACTGATCAGAATTTGGAGCCTTTTTTAAATGGGCAATAATTTTCGCCGATTTTTTTCCGGTTGTTGGAACACTAAACTTGATACTTTTCATTTTTAACTGAACTGATTGAACTATTGAACTGAGTTGATTTTATTTACTGAAAAATAATACTAGTGCAAAGGAGCAAGTATTGGTTTTATAGAACCCTAATCCCTTTCACAGTCCTATACCCCTGTCTGAATTGCTATGTAGTGGTATAACCAATGAGAAATAAACCTTATTTCTTAGACCCAACCCACTCCCTACTTAACTCTTACTAAAGGTAATTTCTGCAAACAAACAATCCTTAATAATTTTCTTTGTGTCTCAATACCTGCTACCCACATTAATTAAATCTTGAAGAACCTCACCTGTGTAGTGCTACCAGCAGTTTATTAAGTTAATTTCAACCATCTTTCAATCAACTACATATGTACCCATATAAAACTACAAAATACTAATTGAAAGAAAATGATTATTTCACTTATTGCAGACTGCAAAGTTTATGCATTTGGTACCCCTATCCAACTGCAGAATAATAATTGAAAGAAAAGGTGCCACTTTATTTATTGCTTGTTGTACAATTTATCTATAAGTACCTCTATATAACTACTCACCAAAAGACAAGGTTTACTTATTGCTAGTTGCATCTGTGCATATATTACTATAATTAATTCTCTTTGTATCCACATTCATTACTACCAACATGAGTAGTTAATTTGCTAACTTCTTTATTTATATGTACCCATATAACATACTAATTAAAGGAACAGGTGCTACTTTAATTATTGCAGACTGCAAAATTTATACTACCCATATAACAAAATATTACTTAAAGGACACAATTCATTTATTGGGAGTTGCAACTGTACCAGTACACAATATTAATTGAAAACAAATGTCCCTGCACCTTGAGACCCATCTGAACAAGTACAAAGTGTTTAAAAAATTAACATGTGTTCTTATAGCTAGATAGTGACCAAATTCTTTGTTAAAATACAGTAAATATTAGTAAAAAGAATAAAATAAAAAATGTTTTTTATGAATGTATTTTTTATAAATTAATAATTTTTGGCTGGGTAAACTTTTTATTTTTTTATGAAAGAGACAATACTACATTTGTAGTCTAAAATTAATATAAGTAGTAAATTAGTACAAATTGTATTAATTGTGATTAAACTTTTTTCTAAATTTCTTTGTAAAATCTGTCTCAAAATTAGTGAGTCTTGAAATATATGAAATAAATAAATAAATGATTTTATGAATATATATCTAATATAATTTTTAAGTGGTTCAAATCTTATAACAAAATAGTTGCCTGCCTTGTTCCATAGTTGTAGAAAAAGTTTCTTGTTTGACTTTAAATTTGTTATTTTGATGACACCATTCCTTATATTGGCGGTACATCAAAGCCAAATTCAAATCACCGTCTAGATATTCCTTACTTGAAGATGCTTGACAATAATGTGACTCTTTTCTAGGGTAAGAATTTATGTGTTCTCGGACAATATCTTTAACATCGTCTGATAGACACCTACCAGTATTGCCGTGATGTCCTCTACGGTCCTCCGGTATTATCCCACTCGAATTAGATAACTTATTAACTGTAGATAAAAACGAATGTCCTATATCCAACGTTGCTGTGTAGAATCGTTTACATACTCGAATTTTCTCTGCATGTATTGTAAAATGATATGACACATTCAATGATCGAGTACTATTCGCATTGTGCAATGAATATTTCGGCTTAACCACTCCCATGCAAGTTTTAATGTAGTAGCGCTGTTTGGTGAGGTCACCGATATTCCAAAAGTCTTCAAGTAGTTTCAATCTACTCTCTTCATTTATCTTCTCTGAGCATTTTAGTCGACAGTTCGTACATGGTGGTTTTGGTTTCTTAGCTGGTACTGTACGTCCTTTTACGGTTTGGTAGGCTTTACCACTATTCTTTAATTGTTTTTTTTACATTCTTAATCCACTTTTCTGACTCTCTCTTTCTCTTTTTAGTTTTATTTCGGGTAGTAGACACTTTTTCAGATTCAGAAACATTTCCATCTTGTAGTTCTATGTTAGCTAAGTTAATATCATTTTCTGTTTCTGTTACAGGCTGTGATTGAACCAATTCATTTCCTGAAAGTTAAAAAATATTCTTAATTTAGAAGCCCTGGAAAATGTTACCTAATAATTAGTAAAAAACGTGATGGGGTTTTCGATTACCAAGAGTCAACGAGTATTCGATTCCTGAAAGTTCTTTTAACCGAAATATTCGAATACCAGCGGAGTAAGCGGTTGCAATTTTATTATGGTAATTTTGTAAACAAACATATTTTTAGAGGCCAAATAAATAAACTAACGCAATGAAAATTTCGGGTACAAACAACTACAAAACGACAATTTCTACTATTCTGCTGTACAAGTGATACTAAATAATATTTATGTTTAATCGGATTCCCCATTCACCAAAGAAAACGTGCTGATTCTCAAGACAATAAAAACGGCTAATTCAGGCTATCACATTTCTGTAAAATTTCGTGAGTGTTAAAGTCATTAACGAATATAAACATTAAACAAATCAGGAATTGATGAATTTAAAACAGTTTTTATTTTAAATCAACACCCGATAGTCGAAAAAGATTTCAATTCTTTGAAGTCCTCGAGTACAATAATTACATATTTAGATTCTTGAAAGTATTCAATTCCACCCGTGACTCAAAAAACGAAATACAGATTCATTCTTACTTATTAGAGGTTCCACCTGGTCTGTAGCAATAGAAATTTTGGATGTCACAGTTAAAGGCCGCAATTCTTTATAAACTATATTCTCATCCTCATGTAGCGCCAAATTATCTAAATTAATGTAATTTTTTCCATCTGATGATAATATTTTGTCTACTTCGTCACCTACAACTAAATAAGGTTTATAACGTAAAAATAAAAGAATGTAAAGCATAAAAAATGTAGAGAACATACAAAAAAGTTCTTACTTAATATAGGCGCCACTTGAGAAACAGTAAACGAGGTATCAGTATTATGTCGTCTCATATTGGAAGACGGGCTTCTTTCATAGTCCATGTCCACAACAGACTGACCCCCTAATCGAAAAGATAAAAATCGTTTTTTATCATTTTAGTAACAATATACATACTAACATTTTAATGGAAAAAAAATTTAAAATGTACCTACTTAAGTAATAGCAGTACCGAATAGTTACTTATTAACACATTGGACCATCTGCTTTAAGAATATTAACTTCGGGTACTGTTAAAATTAAAATAGGTATGATCATAGAATTATTTTCATAAAAAAAACTTACCATGTCCATGATTGTCCTCTACATTTTCCGTTTAATAAACTTGAAATAGCTAGTTCAATCAACTTCTGTGCTCTTGAAGACATAATTTAAGAAACTATGCAGTTAAACCATACACTCTATATCGCGTTCAAAGCACAACTGATACAAAATTTCTTGTATGTAATACAAGAAAATAATTTTTCAACATTGGATTCTCAACGGCGTACTGGAACTTATCGAAATATTATACCGTTGTAAATAATATTCACGTAATGATCTTAAAGTATCGGAACATTTCGAAATAAACTGTTAGTAGATGGGGATGTTACACGAAATAGAACAATTATATCGGTTTTTGTCATTTTGACAGTTATTGAGGACGATTATATATTTTATTCCGTTAGTGATTCAGAAAGAGTCCGCAATTTTTAACCATTTTACGTACTTAGTTCAAAATAGCTAATTTTGGAAATGTTCCAGTAATGAATCCGACCGACGATATGGTCGGACCAAGTTAGGCTGCTGTTCACGATAACACCAAGATCGTTATAGCAATACACAGATTCTAATGGTTGCCCGTTAACAAAGTACGGCACAAGTGGGTTATTTTTACCAATTAGAAGCACTACACATTTTTCCACGTTTAACACCTTTGGCTGCCATGAGTACCCAACCTTGGGTCTCAGACAATTTATTGGAGTAGCCGCGTGTACTCACATATGAGTCTCGGTCCAGTATACATTTACCAGCTGCGTGTGCCCGAAATAAGTCACATCTGTGTAGTTTTCATATGAAAACCATAAATAGTGGCTGTTAGGAGCTGAAAATCTATTTGGCCTGTACTTCTGAGATTTTACTGTGGGTACACGCGGCTGGTACATGCGGACTATGAAAATTTGTACATATGAATATGATAGGAGATAATAGTCGTTTGTATTTTGATAGGCAAGTAATACATAGACGTAAATAAAACTTTATTCTAACAAATTCACAAAAGTAATAATTTTCTATAAAAAAAAGTTGAAATATTTCGAAAGAAAACAATCATTTTTTACATTGACGTAAGTCAAAAAAACATGGCATGCAATAGTTTTTGCTACACTGAATACATTTCATTTTGGTTTTGGGTGTTTTAGCTTGAGCATAAATTCGCCCAAATTCTCTTTGGAGTTTTTCATAACACGCAGAACATCTTCCTCGATGGTTTCTACCAGCATCTGTAAGCACATGTTGCACAGGTTCAATTTGAGTTTCTGACGTTGCGGTTTCGAAAATTGAGAAGCTTTGATATAACTATTTCTCTAAACCGGGTGATACTTATTTTGCTGTTAGTTACTTCAAGGTACACAATATGGGCATTTACCAGAGCAGTTAGAGTCAAAAGTTCTATGGCAA